GGCTTCAGGATATGTGTGGGAGTGGCTGTTTATCTCTGTGGGCTTGGGACTTCCTTCTAGGCTCTACAGAGGCCAGTCCTCATCAATTACTCCTTTAGTCCAGAAGATGTCCTGGCTTTAGGACGTGAGACAAATGCCACTCCAGATTTCCCAAGCCCTATTTCACACTTAAGGGAGCTAACACTCCAATGAGGCTGGTGTCTGACCAGCTCAAGGTCATGGAATAGACTCAAGCCCAGGTTTGAGCCCCTGCTCTTTGTACCTCATCATTCTGTGACTGGCCTAGGAATGGGTTACAGTCTCTATCAGGTAAAATTGTTACCTGTGCTGGTGGCCATGACAACTTTACTCAGTGAGATTACATTAATTCTTACATTCTCCTACATGACATCTAGCGTCTCCCATGATTTACTCATTGCATTCATTTTTAACCCCATCTTCTGCATATTTAGAATGACAGAATAATTTGCAGGATAATTTAGGCTCCATTAGTACGTTATGCATACCTCTATTATAGTACTTATCATGTCGTGCCATAATTTTTTGTTTACATATCTGTCTCTGTCACTTGACTATGAATTCCTATAGGAATTAACCTATGTCTTACTCATCTTAGAATTCTTTCTCCTCCCCAGAACCCAGCAGCTGAACATTTTGAACATAGTAGGTTTTTAATGAATAAGCTGGCTTTATAGCAAGGCTCAGTAGTCAAGTGCACCCAATTTGCACATACTCATTTATGCAACAGATATTTATTAAGTTCTCACTGTGTGCCTAGCACTATGCTAACCTCTAGGAATTCAAACACACCACCTGTGAACCCAGGGAGATAATGGCACACAAAAAATTAATTCCTAGTTGTTGTAGACTGTTTCTCCAAAATTCATGAATTGAAACCTTAACCCCCAAAGTGATAGTATTAAGAGGTGGGAACTTATGAAGGTGATTAGGTCATGAGACTGGAGCACTCATGATGGGATTAGGGCCTTTACAGAAGAGGCCCCAGAGAGATCTTTGGCCCTTTCTCACATGTGAGGACAACGCAAGAAGATGACTGCCTATGAAGGAGGCTCTCTCCAGAAAGAATCTACTGGCAGGATAATCTGCAGGATAATTTAGGCTCCATTAGTGTGTTTGTTGTTTATGAGTTACTCAGTATGTAGTATTTTTGTTACAGAACCCTTAATGGACTAAGGCACTTATCATCATGTAATTTGCAGAGATGCATGGGGTGTTAACGAAGACTAGAAGGGACTGTTTAATATAGCCTTGTTAGGGAGAGATTCAGGGAAGGGTTCCTAGAGAAGGAAACTGCTGAGGTGCATTTCAGAATATGGTTATGAGATAACCAGTCAAAGACATGTTGAGAGGAGGCCACCAGGGAGAAGAAACAGTAGGAGTAAAGGCACTAGGACGTGACATAGCCAGGTATGGTTAGAAAACTACCAATCTGATGTTATAGGAGGAACATCAAGTAGGAGACAAGAGTGAGACTGGAAAGAGTACCAAAGCTAGATGGGAGTGGGCTGTTTGTCAAAAGTTATGGAACTTGGATGTTACTCTGTAAGTGACATTGATGCAGTAAAGGGACTTAAACTGGGGAGAGATGTGGTAATACTGGTATTTTGGGTAGAATCACTCCCCGACCTGGTGAAGAACAGAGTTACAGAGTTGGAGGATAAGACTAGAATTAGGAAAACCAATCAGAAGACAGTTACTATAGTACTGGAAAGAGATGGAGAAGATGTGACCTAGGGAAGTTGTGGAAGGGATGGAAAGAAGAGGACTGACTTGAGTTTGATTTGGGAGATGAACTTGGCAGGATTTGGTGGTTAGTTGGATTTGGAGAGTAAAGGAGAGAGAGGAAACAAGGAAGATTCCCAGGTGGAAGATGGGGCCATCCTCACAGACAGAGAACAGAGATGAATAGTCAGGTTTGGGGCAAGTTAGTGAGTTCATTTTAGACATCCTGAGTTTAAGGTGCATCTAACTAATTCAGGAAATGTCAAACAAGTAGTCAAAAATATGTCTGAAGCTTGATGAGGACAGGGAGAGGGCTGGGACAAGAAATACGAAAATTGTGATCATAAACTAGAAAGCAGTGGTAGAAACCATGTCACCAAAATCACTACGGTGAGTATGTAGTGTGCGATGGACAAAAGGCTGGACCAGTTCCCTGGGAAATACCAGCACATGAGGAGCTGGCCAAGGAAGAGAACCTCACAAAAGAGACTGAGAAGGACAGTCAGAGCATGCTGGGAGTGTGGGGATTACCAGCCTTGCTCACACATGGCTTCCTCAGGGCCTGATCTCCCGACCACCCCAGGTCTGGTACTGGAACCCAATAAGTCCCTTGTGTTTGTCCTTCACAGAAGCTATGGTACATGTAAATTAATACCTGATAGTGTTATTATTTAATGTCTGCCCACCCGCACCCCTCGCTAGAATAATAAACTCTATGAGAGCAGGAATTAGATCTCTCTTAATACCTAGGAAATCCTAGAGACTAGCAAGTGATTGGCAATTAGTAGTTGACTGATAGATACTTGTGAAATTAAAGAATGGTATTTCAAACTCTGAGAAGGTAGAGATTTTCAAAGAATGTCACTTTTAATAATCAAGTTATCTGGATACTGTTCAATGCCAAATGTAAAATGTGCTTGTTTTATATTTGTACTATTTCCCATGTAGCAAAATTAAATTTTTGTCAGTCTTTTCTTTAAGGTAATGAACATTTTTCTCCCATTTCTCCTGGAGATAACAGGAGGTCTCCAAATACTTGGGAGAATGGAGAAAGGTGGGATAATGGTAGAGTTGTATTAGTTTGTAATATTGTGACACTGTCATTGTTCCCCAAAGCTACACCTGGTCTCAGAGTAGGAGACAGATGGCCAAAATGCCTCATGAAAATTTATCTGGTTTATCTGGTTATTCACCAGGGACAGAAATTATGATGTGAATATGGTCACAATTCAGAATTTCCTTTATGCAGTACTTCTGTGGAAAATTTTATAAGAAAATATATTGAATTAAGATATAACCTATTTTCTATTACAAATCCATATATATATGTAATATGTATACACATATATGTATGTATATAACATACATTATTACTTATTAAAGTGCTAACAATTGGATTCCAGTGTCAAACAACTCTCTTACAAACACATTTAAATAATTGTATCAATATTTATGAGAGGCTTCATCTATAGGTATTAAGACTAATGCTCCCCCCCAAAAAATCCAAGTGTCAAAAGGCCAATATCTAGTTTTAGACACATAGATTTCAGAGATATAGGTCTTTGTCTCTTTCTTTTCCCATTTTTCCTCAAATCCTTACCCATCTGAAGAACTATGCTTGAGACTTTGTATAAAGGGATTAAAACCCCCTAAATTCTTAATGATGTTTACCATGAAAACACCCTGAAAGACATAGCACAATAACTCATATGTGCACCAAGTTTCAAAACATATCTGATCCTTTCCTGAGAGTTTTCTGATGGGAGAGAGAAAGGAATAAAAGGGGCTCAGCAGAGTGGAGAAATACTGCAAAAGGAGCCTGAGGGTATGCAGGGCAAATGGTTCATTGTGGTCAGGCACACTGGTTAGAGTGCAGACTGCAGCTCTGCCTGCCTCTTACTAGTTTTTGAATGCATCTGTTTAGCAGCTTGGGCTTCAATCTCCTCATTTGAAAATGGGGTCATAATAGCACTTACTTCATAGTGATGTTTAGAGTATTAAATGAGTCAATACGTGCAAAGCAGTCAGAACAATGCTTGCCGTATAGTAAGTACTGTAACAGTATTAGCTTCTATTGTTATTTACCATTTTAACTTAGGCCATGGAGTTGTGTACAGGGTTTTATGTCTCCCATTTCCCAGATCACCCTCTCGTTTGGGAATGGTTACAATTCAGACTCCATATTACTGGCTCAGGCTTCATCTACCCCCATTTATAATTCCTGATGTTTGGGATCCAATGACTCTGAGGAAATAGGTTTGTTTTTGTTTTATAACCCATGTATAGCCTGCAGTTCTTTCTCCCAGTACTTATAAGCCCTGGTTAAAAATCACTGAACAACTGCTGACTTATGTAACTGCATCAGGAGCATTTTCCTCAGGGATTTGCTCAGAACCCTCTGAGTCAGTTACCCAGGGAAACGAGCTGGTGATGTCACAAGGTATCACATTTCCAGCTCTCTCAGGTCCCTTCTGTAGAGTGTGAGGCAGAGCCTCAGTTCTGAAAGCTTTACCCAGCCTAAGCAAATTCTTGCCTTCTCCAAGGCAATGTAGAGACCCTCATTCTCTCCTAGCAATGTCTAAACCCAGGTATGTTGGGGAAGTGACCACACATCTTTTTCTGATTCTCTTGACCACAGATCTCTGGCTTTGCTTCTCTCCTTCCAGGGAATAGAGATGCCTATGCAAGTGGAGTGTCCAGGACAGCTCTCCATAACTCTTGGTTCTCTAGGATATAGATAAAAAAATTGAAAAAAGAAAAAAAACCCCAAAAAACCTAAACCCTGGGGCTGCTCCCTGGAGGATCAAGGGTTGTTTCAGGTTTTAGAAGGCCCTGGAGGCCAAAGGAATAAGTTACAACACGCTTTTTCCTTCTGTTTACTTCCCTCCATGAGCTAAACATGTCCACAAACTCTCCCTTCTGGTTTGTCAACCTGCTTTTCACTCTCTCAGGATACATTATGGCAACTTCTTTGTTCCGCCCAAATGAAAAGAAAATATGGCCATGATGATATTTCACTAGAGTTTACTGGTGTTTAATGATAAGGTCATTTAGTCTTGTCTCCAACCCAGTCAAACAGTGCAAAGTACATTTCTTGCATTGCTCCCTGCCCTTTTCAAAGCCTATCATACTGATATTTATGCAAATCTGTGGATTACCTACTATTATCTAAATGAAGGCATCTGATAATCAGCAACAATCCTGTCTCCCAAGTTTATGAGGAAAGGAGCCTATGAGAGAAGCAAAATTCAGTCATGTTGAAACTCTCAGTCCCAGAAGGGCGTGTTTTACAGCTCTCTTCTGCCTTAGGACTTCAGCTGTGACCTGCAGAGGTATGCCAGAGAGAAGCTACTTGAGACATTTACAGTTCCCTGGTCAGAGCTAGCCATGACGCGGACTTCTACGTGCATATACCACTTTCTCGTTTTTAGCTGGTATGTCTTCCTCAATTTTCATATCTCACAACAAGCAGGGGATCCGCGGAAATCCAAACTCTTTATAAATGGTGGACAATGGAAGTACTTGACATTCCTGAATCTGGTAAGTTCATATGGCTGTATTGGGAAGCAATCTATTTGTCTATAATATCAGTGCCTCTACACATAGCAGCTTTTGATTTTATTAAATACAAAATTTCTTGTCTTTCTTCTTTGTCTGTGAGCTTTGGCTTTCTCTTTTATTTCACAACTTACTCTGAAGAACCCAATTCAGGAGTTACTCATACCTACCTTTTGTACTGGCTAACTATTAAATGCTCTTTTGGAAAGAATCTTATCTTGAAGTTCTTCTCAAGTGAGCCCAAACTGGGGACTAAATTAATGGTTTCACCATGGGATTGACTACAAAGGCAGAAAGGATTTTGAACTTTGCTTGGGGAAGTCTGGGGGGGGAGCAGAGTGGTGTATGTTGCGTAGGAAGTGCAATTTCCAATGGAGGAATAATGCCATTTTACAGCACACACAGAGTGACAGATTTACCTAAGAAATGCAAATACATTTTTCCATGTTCAGATCCCACATCAATTTTTTGTGGGCTCAGGTTTCATCTTAAGGACAAATCACCCGACCAAATGGCAAGTACACATTTTCAACTATTTACAAACCAATCACATCACTTGATCCCTTCTTGTTTTCCTAGCCCAGCTGACCACAATCTGATGAATGAAGTCTTAAAGTGTGAATGAATGGGAGAAAAACAGATTTTTAAAAAATGTTTTGAGAATATTTTAAATTATTTTTAGAGTTAAAAGTTAAAAATGGTGCATCTTTGGGGATACTAATTAATGTTTGAGACTTTTTTAACTTAAATGTAAGGTATCATATAAACATCTGATTTCAGAAACTGGACAAAATATTCCAATCCTATAGAATCATAATGCTAGGCAGAGGTAATGCCTAGGATTATGATTTATTTATTATAAGAAAAAAATGACGCTCTGAAATGCTAAGGAGAGGAAATTCAGAAAGTTCAAATCAAAGAGGCCTGGAGGTTCTGCTTCCTCCTCTCTGGTACTTTGCTGGTCTTTGATTTTGGCCTGAAAGATCTGAGCCCTGAACCTAGCTCTACTGTGCTTGAAAAATATCAAGATGACTGCTTGTTTAAATCATAGAATTTAATGAAAACAAAAACTAAAAATAGAAAAGAGTACCAAAAAAATTTTGTAGAATTAGAATAATACTGTAAAAATCTCAGCTTTATGTACCTATTAGCTTCATGTTAAGAAGAGTCAACTTAAAGTCAGCAGTGTCTGTAGCCAGGATTGATGGTCTAATCAAACCCAGATTCTAGTATGGATGTCCCACCTCACTCACACTAAGCATGGGTAAGACAGATTCATCACCTACCCCAACAAACCAGCTCCCTGACTTCTTAATTCTAGCTCAGTTACAGTCTCAGAGACACTCATCTGTCAAAGACATTGTTATTTTCTAGTGATAATCCCCTTTTTGTTCCCTGATTAATCAGCCACCAAATCCTATGTTTTTCCTTTTGCTAGGTTCATCCCTTTTCCCCCAATCCTACTGCCCCCTCTTTGCAGGCTCTTATTAATTTGTACCTAGATGATCAGATCATCTCTTCATTGTCCTCTCATTATCAATCCATCCAACTACCACTCAGATTTCAAATTAATCTTCCCAAAGCACTGTTTTCGGTTTTTTGTTTTAAACATCATGAGCCTGCTTGAGAAGTGTGATCTGCTACTCAAGAAACTGCAGTGGCTCCCTTCTACCTTATGAGACCAATTCCAAACTTTTGATTTAAGAGCTTACCTGCCTACCTAGACTTCTGGCACTCCTCTCCCCAGGAAGGCTGCTCTATTCTCCAGGAAGGCTTGTGTCTTCTCCAGTGTTGATCCCTAGGCTTTTTCTGTCACTGCTCTATGCATATTCACACTTTCCTTGAACGAAGGGCCTACGTGCTTCTCCAGTTTTCTGCTTTCATAGACCACTTGAAATCACATATTCTTAAAAATCTCTGATGACCAACTCTAGCCCAAATTGGTTTTTCCTTTCTCTGAGGTTTTATAGCATCTCTCAGTCACTGTTTATGTGTAGTATTGTCTTATTTCTACTCACACATGAATCTTAACATTGTAACCAAATTGTAAATGGCTCCAAAACAGGAGTTTTTGTCTCCTGGGTCCTTGCCAACCCTAACATTCTACAATTTTTACATTGTATTTGATACAGTGGCTGACAAATATTACCCTCATAATAAAAACTGAGTGACCTGGTATGTTGACTGGACTTGACCTCAGATTTTTCTGCATTCCTGAGCAGTATAGTCTCTTCTGCCATCTTCTGGCCCCTGAAATGGGCAGAGAGGGCTTACCTGGGGCTGTTTCCTTTCTGCTCTCTGTTAGGTGCCATTTTGAAAGTGTGACTTAATGCAACATTTTCCAATTAGTGAATTTGGGTTGAATGTGTTTTAGAGAATCAATTTAAGGACAGACTTCAAATATGTTACTTTATGTGAAATATTGGGCCTTAAAATTTCTAACTCTTGAGGTCTTCTGGGCTGACTAATGGTTGTGTTTCTTAATGATTAATTCGTGTAATTAATTATTAACTAGTTAATGGTTGCATTTATAAAATCATAGAGATTTCAAAACTTGCTGTAACACTCAACTTTATGTAAGCTTATTGAAATCAGAATCCCATCCTGATTTCCAGGAAATTTACACCCCTCTTCTTTTAACAGCTTTAATTTCTAGTTGGCTGAATATCAGTTACAGCCCCTAAAAACAAAATCCACCTCAATGCAAGTCAGCATTCTAAATGTGCCCATTTCCTCCTGAAGCTACTCCAGGAGATTCAAAGGATTGATGCTTGGGGGTGGGATGAGCTGGTGTGATGGGGTGCCACTGAGAACTGGTCATGGTGACCAAGTCCTGCGTAGTGCCTAAGGAGAATAAAGGAAGGAGAGGGGAGATGTGAGTTTCTGCCTAATGAGGGAGTAAACTGACCCCAGGGAAGAAGCAGCTAGTTCTCTGTTAGAAGGGGAAGACAATGTAACCTAGCAGTTATAAGCATGAGCTCTAGGATCATCAGCTCTCTGGGATGGTACCTCAGCTCCACCTGTACTGACACTGAGCCAGGTATTTCTTTTATCTTCTATTTCCAAATCTGTCAAGTGGAAATAAAAACAGTGCATAACCACAGAGTGACCATAAGGGATTAATGACCTGACATGAGGGAAGCATTCAGAATGGTGTAAGCAGTGGACGATGGGAAGAGAAGATGGGAGGGTGCTGGTGAGCTTCTAGTCATCTCATCTTTGAGTAGAGCAGAGGCAGTGCAGAAGGGAAGGTGATTTTTGGGGACATCAGCTTCTCACTGGTTACTCCATGGTTACTGGGTCATGGATCCAGGCAAGGATCACCCACCTGTTTCATTGCTTAAGTATCTCCCTCTGCAGGCTTCATGCTCCAACTTCCCAGCTAGAGGAGGATTGCTATGCAGCCATTGTTTTCCCTGTATAATAGCTGCCCAGGTGGATGCCCTCAGGCACTGGGGAAGTCCCAGAGGCAGAGTCTGCAGGCTCAGGCAGAGGGCAGTGAATCCTCTGAATGAGGCAGCTCCCAGGAGACAAGGCAGTGCTGTGGACACCCTCAGGGTGCTCGTGTTGGTTCAGACTCCCAGTGCCTGTGTCTTCCACAAATGTTGTGTTCCCTCTTCTCTAACCACTCCACTTCTGTCCAGGGACAGTCCCTGACCCTGGGGAATGCAAGTTACAGGGAGGAGATGGAGGGAGTTTTCAGCTGCAATTTAAACTGGCCTGCAGAATTCATACAGTTTGCAGGGTTTTTCTCTTTTTAAAAATAAATTTCCTTCTGAAACATGGTTAGAGGTGGTGCTTCATAACTGGGATCTCCAGGGGAGATTCTAGGTGGGCCCCTCCCTGTTTCCCTCACCCCACTTCACCAACATAGGCACAACCTTTCCTTTCCCTCTTTACAAAGGTGCCCAAGCCTCAGGCAGCTCTGACCTCATTTTCCTCAAGTTCTCAGGATGACAACAGCAACCTCATTACATAGGTCCTCAGGGATGGCAAGCAGGGCCAGGGGTAGAGAGATCCTTGAGGATGTTCCATTGTCCAAACTCCAAGGTAGCCCATGAACGTGAGAAGGCAGGGATCCATTTACAGTATTCAACACCCACTTCAGTATTTGGGGCTACCCTTTCATTTCTGTCATTGGGTTAATATATTACTTTGTGGAACTCTTCAGCTCAGCAGAGTCAGAAATACACTTAACTGTCTATTCCACAAAAATGCTTAAGACCACTGTTTTTAGCTCTCAGATAGCTGAAAGAATGAGGGCTGACTGAAAAGAAGAGTCACTACCAGCACCTAAAATAAAATAGCTGTAATTTATTGAGCAACCATGATATAGCATTTTGGTAGGTTCTTTGCACACAGTATAGAGATAAGTGATTGAAGACCTAGCTTCTGAAGCCAGACTGCCTGGGTGCCACTTACCTACTGTGTGATCTTGAGTGAGTTACCTAACTTCTCTGTGCCTCAGTTTCCCCATATGTAGTGGGTACCGTCGTGTGGCACACAGATGCCCTCATCTCCCCAGCACGGAGTTACTCATTCCCTAGTTCCTGGAGAAGGAGTGTTGGCCACTGATGACCCACAGTTGAGCTCTTGTCCCAGAATTGTCCTCAGCAGAAGGTAGCTACCCAGACCAAGGCTTAGAGCCCTCCCTGGGGTTGCTACATCCAATGACTGGCTGATCTTGGGTACAAAGGCCAGGCTCCAGGACAATTCTGAAGGGGCAGCTCAGCTCCAGAGCTCCTTTGGGGATTAGCTAATCTCATGCAACTATACTGCCTTTCTGGATTTCCTGCTGCTCAGTCCTTCTCTCTGCCTCCCTCCCTTCTTCCCACACATGTTCTGAGAGCATTTCTCAATGAACACTCTGCAGGCAGATCTCAGAATCTCAGATTCTGTTTCCCAAGGAACTTGACCTACATAATGTAAAATAGTAAATGTACAGAAAATGTTCCTCCTCCACCTCTTTCTTCTTCCTAATAAAGACATATTAACATAGAGCCTGCTCTGGCCTGTACTGTGTCTAATTTCTTGCACCTAATGGGCATTCTGTGAATGCTGGCTGCATAAATAAACGATCAGAACATGATTCTAACTGGTAAGAGCCACTTTCTAGAAAACCCCACCCCACATGTAAGACAATCTACCCCATGGCCATTCTACTGCTACTTTGAAGCCTGCTGTCATCAGCTACACAACACTGGCCAAGCATTCTTACAAATCTTCCTCCCAGCCCATCCCTCAATGTTCTTACTTTCTTCTCTTTTTTTCTTCATCATTCCAGCTTGTTCTTCATATCATTTCTTCACCTATGTTCTTTATTTCATTCTTTTACCTCTTTCATAAGCTAAGTGCACATGAATGATGGCTGAAATAGTATATGACATATAATACAGAATTATTTGGCAAGTCTTCCTCTACCTGCACCAAATACCACCACCCTTACCACCACAGTCCCCTTGTACAGAATACTCATCACAATTAGTCCCCGTGTGCTGTTTTATTCTGGATTAGTCTCCATGGCAAGTATTGCATCATTTCAAAGACAAGACCTGAGAAAGTCCCAGCCTGTCTGAGTCAGGCACGAAGAGCTGAGCTGAGCGCTGGATGACTTGACTCATCCAGCAAGAGTTGTAATATCTTGCTCAGGAAACTTGTGGAATCTCCCTCTCTGGAATTATTTTTTTAAATGAAGAAATTCTCATTTCCTGGGATAGTTTAAGAGGGTTGTAGCTTAAAGCAAGGAAAATAAACTTGACAACTTAGAAAGGTTAAGCTTCTGTGATTTCAAGATTTTTGTGAGGACAGAAATGTAAAAACTAAATATTCTTTAGCTGTGGTTTCTTAAATTGCACTAATTATAAAAAAATTTAAATTCAGCTCTCCCAGGTGGTGAGTTTGTCAGCTAGTAACAAAAATGGAAGACAGCTAACAAACTTAGTTCAGCAGTATTTCAGAAGAAGGCATAAAAGAACAAACAGAATGAGGGAAGAACTGGTAGAAAAGACAAATCAGAGAACAACTCTGAAGTAACCCTTGCCCAGAAGATACCATTAGCTCTTCTTTTTTGAGCAGCCAAAATAGTTGAGAAATGTGAACACCTGTAATTTTATGGTAAGAGTCATAGAAGATGACCAGTTGTTACTGTCTTATTTTAATGTTGCTGTGTCAGTTTGCTGGGGCTGCCATGCCACAGACTGGGCGGCTTAAACAACAGAATTAATTTCCTCACAGTTCTAGAGGCCAGAAGTCCAAGATCAAGATGCTAGCAGGACTGGTTTCTACGAGCCTCTCTCCTTGGCTTGTAGACACTACCTTCTCCTTGTGTCTGTGTGGGTCTGTGTTCCAATCTCCTCTTATAAGGACACCAGTCCTATAGGATTAGGGCCCACCCTACTGTCCTCATTTTAACTTAATCACCTCTTAAAGATCCTATCCCCAGATACGACCACTTCCTGAAGTACTGAGGGTTGTAACTTCAACACATGAACTTTGGGGGGGATATAATTCAGTCCATAACAGCTGCCATCTTCCCCCTTGGCTGTTCTTTCTGTGCATGTCTTATAAACACTCCAGTGTATTGTCCTTAGAGAATGAGCTGACCACTGTCCAGTTTGATGAGCTGATCCAAATCTGTAGTTAAGACCCTCCAGGAAGCCTCCCCATTGAGTGAGTCAACGCTGGCTCCCTCTCCTTGCTCCCCAGATCTGCTGTGGTTTCCATGGGCCCCAGTTCTTGCCTATTTATTTTCTTGGCAACACCCTAGCCCCTCCTTCCTGAGCTCCAATGGGGGTGGGGGCTCCATAAATATTCCTTGTTGATACAGATGATGGTATATCAGTGTGGATTAAGATCAATGGAGACAAGGCTGCTTCATTCACACAGCTGGCATCTTTCCAATGTGGCATATGCCTGTGAAATAGTGTGTGAGCTGAGGGTGGAGGGGGAGATGTGATTGGCAAGTCTGTGGTGTGGAGCAAATTTTTATCGGTGAAAGAGAAGCCACGGAGGCTCTGAGTAATGTGTTCTTCACTCCAGTCCAATTTCCACATTCTGCGACTGGGAAAGGCAAGAGAAAGTCAGGACAAGCTTGACTCATGTTGATGCTAGGAAGCTCTCATGAAGGAAAGTGGTCACATGGACTTCACATGCTGGGTGGAGGCAGCCTCTTCTCAAGGACGGAAAACCCGGCAGATCCTCAGTGCTCAGTGCGTGATTAATTGCTGTGTTGATAGGACAGTGCAGGCCTCCTCATCCTAGGCCCAGGCCTCTTGCCTGTCCTTCCTAACTACAGCTACTGCCTGTGGTGGCCTCAGGGGTGAGGTGAGAGCTTCTGGGGGAGAAGGGAGGAGGCAACTTCTTCTACCATCCATGCACAGAGACTGCACTCCAAATTCTACAGCCCTTAGGGGCTGAGTGGCAAAAGTAAATGACAAGTATTGGGGTGGCAGCCTCTTTATGCGTTGAAAGCTGTTGCCTCCTCCCTGGGATACCTCTTTCTGGATTAAAGCCTCCTCCTCCCTCAGGGGCCATGGGGTTCTTGAACACTTCTAGTTTTCCACCATCTGATCATTCTTTGCTATATTGCTTATTGCTGCCTGCTTAGCCCCTCTATCCCCTAGATGAGGGTATTTTCCCAGCATTTGCTTCTCATTTCTCTCCTCTCTGTCCTCTCTTCATTAATCTCATCCCACCACGGGGTTCACTCCCTGGATCCGCACGCCCCACCTCCTAGGTCTGCATTTCCAAATGGAAGTTCCTCTAGACAAGTGGTTCTCAACCTTGGCTGCCCTGATTAGAATCACCTGAGAGAATTTTTAAAACTCCTGATGTCTAGGCTACACCTCCAGACCCATTAAATTAGAATCAAGGAGTCTGAGAATCAGGCATCAGTATTTTTTAAAATAATATTAAATTCTCCCACTTGGAGATAATGGTCTCTCTTCTGACCTGTGCTTTATCTTTATTCTTAGAAACTTTGTTTTGTTTTGTTCTGTTTTGAAGTCTGGCTCAAGAAGCAGCCTCTGGGTTTCAAATCCTGGCTTTGACATTTATCAAACATGAGACTGAAGGCAAGTCTGTTCATCTCTCTGTGCCCTAGTTTACTCACCTGTAAAATGGGAAATGGAGAGGCAATAATAGGATTTATCTCATAAAATTATTATAAGAAATTAAAAGCTTAGATCTTGTTAATGCCTGGCACATAACAAATAGAATTGAGTAGTCATTAAGATTTTTAAGTAATAAATTTATGTCTAATCCGGTGGTTCTAGAATTTTAGCATATATCAGGCTCACCTGGAGACTTTGTTACAAAATAAGTTCCTGGGCCCAATTCCTGGAGATTCTGATTCCATAGTCTGGGGCGGGGCACTTTGAACACGCTTTGGGGTGCTGCTGGTGCTGCTGGTCTGAGGACCCAGCTGGGAGTACTGCTGGCCTAATCCATCTCTGAGTTCTCTCCTACCCGTCCTTTCAGCCCTAGGAGACGCAGGAGGCTGGCTCTGCTAGAGCTTTGCTAGGGTTCAGAGCTCAGAGCTGGTTCCCCAACAGCCAACTTCACTAGTCATTAGTCCAGCCCCCCAGGTTCCAGAACTTGCCTGACTCATACTCTCAGAGCAGAGTCCAGGCTGTTACTTTTGTACCAATCCAGAGCTTTCAAGAAACAGGACAGATTCTGATGCAATAACTCAAAATCAACCTTAACTCTGTATTGTTATGACTCTTGGCACAGAATGACAAGATGCCATTTTGTGCATCTCCTTCAGGAGAGCACAGAGCTCCTTCATGGTGCTCTTGATCCTGATTCTGGCTTCTCTAATGAGATTGCAACACTAAGCATTAAAAAAATTTTTCTTCCTAGGAAGAGGCCAGAATATATCCACCATTGTGTCTGGATCTTTGCTCTTGGGCTGTTTATTTGGTTTTTCCCACCTCTGGGCTGCCAAGGTATCTATCTCATTACATTCTCTTTTTAAGCTATTTTGTTTCCATTTTAGCTCTAGTACATTACACTAAATACTGTACACATTATTATCCCCTAAACAACTTTACTCAATCAGTTTTAGCAAGCAAGGTCAGGGACCAGTGAGCTGCAAGACCAGCCTTTGAATTGGCTCCCAACCAAAACAGCCAGCAGCCCCCTCCTTCTGAAATCAATATTGCTCCCAAGGGATAGCGCTTTACATCAGTGAAGAATGTATTAATTAAAACAAATGAAAATGCCCTCATTTGTTGTAATGAATTTAGCTCTTGCAGGCCATTTTCTATGGGGTCGCCTGCCTGGAAGATGTGCTGAAAATAACTACAGGAAAAAAAGACATTAAGCTCGTAACTGCCTTCAGAGACCTGCTTTTCACCACACTGGCTTTTCCAATGTCCACAGTAAGTGATAGAGATGTGCAAGTAATATACTACACAGAGCATATGGATGGACCCTTCTTCTGGGCTGTTTGGGAGCCCATTACTGTAATCAGGGCAATTGCATTTGCAAAACTGGACTGTCTGAGGACTGTTTCACATTGCCCAGTGTCTTCTGGAAATAAGGCACATTACCGACAAGATTTATCATTATCTTTTGTATTTTTGTGAATATTTGATATAAGATCTTCATTGATGTCTAACAGGGAAGACTGAAGACCCTTCTTAATCAAAATACAACTGCGATAACCTTGGTTCCATCAGGGTGATGGGAATGGAGGGTGCCGAGGAGGGAGATGACTAATTTCCCCTTATATACAGCTTGTTTCACTTGCTGCAATAAACATTTGTTACTTCTACAAGTGGAAATCATAGAAAAAAATGTATGAGAATCTTTAAAGTTGGCACATGGAAAAAACAGCTAAGGAGAGGAAGATAGTCTACCTGAAATATCTGGTGTGGGACTCACAGTAGGTTCCTGATTCATTTCGTTGAATGAATGGACATTGGAAAGAAGCAAGACATATGCAAGGGACAGTAGGCTTGTTGCTGATACTGTCCACATTTCTATGACATTGTTCAGTTCATGTTTTCATTCATTAGTTAGAATGGCAACAAACAGATCAGGCACGCCAGCTGCCCAGCGGGGCTTATAATGAGAAATGACTACCTCTTTATACCTGCCATTGTTCTGTTTCCTACAGTACTGAGACATCAAACTTAAATCCAAGATGAAACTCTCCAAACGCTAATGAGTACTCAGATAACAGAGTAAAGACTGGCATTCCAGTCTTACTTTTCAGGATGCCTCCTCCTCCGTGCCCATAAATCTTCTAAAGGCCAAGTTTTTCTAACAATGGAGTTTATTCATTTTTTTAAAGCTTAGAAATTGTGCCTTTGGAATTTAAGAAGATAAGAAGATCAAAAGATTAATAGTTATTTCTGTCTTGACTTTGACTTTGTAGCACAGAAGACAGACATTTTGAAAAGACAGCCAAGGGGTACAAGAGGATGGGAATCAACCCAAAATTCTGAGCAATAGAGATACAACTCACAGTTAAGTAGGCTGTGAATTATCCTGGACACCTTTCACTTCTCTCCCCTACCCTTCCTGCTTCCCCTTGCCATGCCTATTTAGAGAGTGGGTATGGAAAGTGTAAGACTCAAGCCACTCCATTTGGCTGCTCACAGCACTCCTGGGGAAAGCTTAGGGAAGAGAGAAGTCATTGGTTAAAATGAAATGACCTAATGGTCTACGAATCCTGTGTATCTATATTTTCTCTGCCTGCCCCGATGACAAATAAGTGATCCCTCTTTGGAATCCCCAGAGAGACTGGATATTGTGCTTTTACAATAGTTTTTTTCCTTCATTTTACATTTCTATAATGTATATATAAGATGTTCTTAAGGCTGTTATCTTTTTATTTTGCTATGTTTCCTTGATTATCTTAAAAACCACTGATTGAAAATAAACCTAATGATGCTATTTTTGTGTTCTATTTTCCAGTTTGTATTTCTGTCATTCTGGAGCCTCTTTCTCTATGATCGAGAACTCGTGTACCCTAAGGCCATGGATGATCTCTTTCCAGTATGGTTGAATCATGCACTGGTGAGTGAGAGAAAAATTTAGTTACTGTAGAAAGGTAATAGCCTCTATACTGAGAACTCCAAAGTGCCTTATTTATGTTTCCAAACTTCTCCTTAACCCCTCACATCCCATTCACTACCCTGTCTCCGTCCTGTCACTATTTATTTAAAGAGCACACTGAGAATACAAAATGAAGAAAAAGTGGTGCTGTAATTGGAATCACTGAGAACAGACCAGATGTCCAGGCAAGACTATCTGGCTGGTTGCTTATGAAGTCATTCAAAAGACATGAAACCATAAGGGCAGGCAACTTCTTGGAGGCTGCAGTCCTGAAAGAGAGGCAACTTCACCAAACAGCATGAAATTTTGATCTGGGAATGGAATCAAGCAAGCTTTAAAAATAATCCACCCTGGATATTAACTAGACTTTTTGTGGTAATCATTTCACAATATATACAAATACCAAATCATTACATTGTACACCTGAAACTCATACTCTATATGTCAATTAGATAAAAAAAAAACCCACCTAAATGTCCAAAGCGTATCTCATAGCTGAGAAGTAGCCTCTTAGCTAATGTTTGATCAGGACTATTTATCACAAATGGTTTACATATTCCTATGAATACGTTCCCATTTGGTTCCTTTATTCATGCATTTACTTTTGAGGGGCCAAAGAGTAAACAGAACCTGTTCTGAGATATTTGGATCGCTATACCTGAATACCACTAACAGTGGCTTGAACAAGCAGAGTTGGAGCAAGGTTGTCTAGGTCTTGGATAAAGGAGGGCGTCTGAGTTACTGGCACTACATTCAAAGTACTTGCTCAGCTTCTCAATATTTACCAATGTATTTCCACATTAGTCAGGACTTCAGAAGTAGGCCTGAGAGTCTGTGAAGCAAATGACATTTAAAAACCAGGGGGAAATCACAAGGGAGCAGCAAATCAAGGCTCCTCAGGTTTACAGACTTTCTTCTACTCCCAACTTTTTCATTGTCTTAAAACACACAATTACCAATATGGAAAAGCAGCTCAGTCCACTAATTTTGCTCCACCACATAACCTCCCCCCAGAAAAACATACTTTCATTTTAAATATGTGTTCAGTGAGGTACTGATTATTAACTAAGGTATATAAGTTCTGATCTAGAGTTCAGAACAAAAATTATATATTAAATACGTCCCTTTCTCAGAGAACCCTCCTACTACCTTTTTGTCAGATCACCTCATCAGTTTCCCAATTTCCAATTAACATTAATCTGAGACCCATACATAGGGAATTTTCTGACCTTTTTATGGCACTTTACACTGTATTAAGCATGTTCCTCAAATATGAGCCAATTTAATTCACACAACCTAACTTAGACAACAACTACAACCCTGATTTTTCCAAATTAAAAAGATAAAAGCTCAGAAAGGTTAAGTGGTTTGCCTGGAGCCACTGAGCTCATAAGTGGGACAGTTAGGATTTACATTCAAAGCTCTTCCTTGCCTTATACAAAGTACAGAATTTGTTGTTCGATCTGGTTTCATAATTAACCAGGCAATCAAAAGGATGTCATTTTACTTGATTAACACAGCAAAGTGAGAATTCTCACTTAAAAAAAAATCCAGACTCCCCATCTGTATGCTAATAAGCCAAAACTATACTTCAGAAAATGAAGTAATTTGGGACAACTGATCAAGCTAGATGTTGCTAAAATAAAAAGGCAGAGTACTGAAAGTGTCTTTTATTTGGAGCCAAACACATACAAGAAACACCTTTTCAAGGCTTTGTGAGTTCATCTAGTAGTTTTCCTACAGCTATTACAAACTTCCTATCTCTTTGGGGTTCCATTTTCCATGTGGAAGTAGTTTTCTTCCAAATAGTTATAATGGTAATGCCTAGCACTTGTGACCTTGCTGAACAGTGATATGAATTTTTGGTAATTTTGGAAGCAGACAGCTAGATAATGTACATCATAGCCATGAGCTAATAAGCAAGGCAGAAACTATACAACAGAGAACATAAAATATTTGTGTGCCTTTACAACCTAGGGGTTTCTTTTGACCCTATTCTTGTCTTTTGGTCAATCAAATAACCTGAATCTCTTAGAGACAAGGGGCCAGGGTCAAAGGAGGTGGGACAATGGTGAAAAAGAGATAAGAAGAGGAAGCAAAACCTGCCTTGGGTCAGACCCAGATTCTTCCATGATTCTGTTAATTTCATTGGAGAAATTCCCAACAGAACCATTTCTGGGGAAAATGTTGGCATCAGCAAAACCATCATTGGGTATTCCCAGTACGGTTATTCCCCAAACTTCCACGTTTGCTTTTGGTGTCTGCTGCAAATCCAGTGTCCTCATGACTGCATCACATCCCTCTCTCCCAAATTGTGTCCCTTAATCTGGACATTTTCTTTTCTCGCTATTAAATACTCCTGGTCTATTACCTCAAGGAATGCTCTCTGTTAACATCTTAAATACTAGTATAAAAGTATATGGAAATGGTTGTTATTGGGTTAATTTACTAACACTTTCTACATTTTAACTGTGTCTTTCCATGACAACTCAAATGAGTAAATACTCGCAAACCAAAGTGGCAGCCAAAGTGATGATGGGCGGTCAGACAGGACACTTGGTACTAGATGTCGCCAAGGGGACCTGCTCTTAAAAGGAAACATTTCCTGTAATGTTCCTTTTTCTCTTTCACAATATAAGAATTCTTGCTGTATAAAGCCAGTGTCATGCTTTCCTGAAAGGTTCTTTCATGTCACAACAGTCCTTATGTTTTCCTATTCTAGTCTTAGCTTTGGACTACTCTCCCTATTCCCATTTGTAATGCTGCCCTGGGTTTTATGAGTAGTATGTCAAATTAAGAAACACCTCTCTCCCCTTTGACACAGTGTAGTTCTAAAACCTTCATGAGTCATCAAGTCTTTCAACTCCTCCTTGCCCAACCCTTCTAACCCATTAAAGACTTGCCACTGCAGTTTACACCATTCAAAGATCACTATCATCTCTAATGGACATTTTTCTATCCTTGCTTTGTATTCAAACCAAATAGTAACATCAGTGAAGTATTAGCATCGACCATAGACAGACTGACTAATTCAAAGTAGATTAATCTGACTGTTTCATTGCTAAGCAGTTCTCCAGTCTTCATGAACAAAGAAAAAGAACAGAAAGTATTCCTCCATGTTTTGCCAGGAAAACATTAACTCCTCAGGTATTATCTAAATGACTACTAAAGATAGAACCAGAGCAGACAGATTTAAATAGCAGGAAAAGGACTCAGTAACTGAGGAAAATATCAGATCCTAACCTGAAGGGAGCTGGAAATCTTATTTCTCCAGAAATCAACCTGAATTGTTCAGAATGCCCCAAAGGAGGGGTGCAATAGACATGAGAACCCCCTCTACATTTGAAAATAGTACATGATTATTGAGCATATGTATACAAGCACTTTATAAACTATAAAGGACTGCACAGATAGTTATTATCATGTAAGACACTCAATCCATGATCACAGAGTTTTAGAACTGAAAAGGCGTTGTTTATATTCATAGAAATTTTAAAACCATCTGCTCTTAAGAGACAAGTCTTACCTTGAATCTTTAAATTGGTGCAAATACTAAATACAGCTACTTAGTTATTTAATGTGTTGTCATTTATTCACTTGAAAAAATAATTATTAAGTACCTACTATGTGGGTAACACCAGGATCAATATTTGACAAGGGTTTTGACTTCTGGCACCCTTAAATCTGGTTGAACCTAGTATACACGTACAAAGTTGAAATAATCAAAACATTGGTTAATACTAACAAGACATTGGCATAGGTGGTCATGCAGCAGTATGTGATTACTGCCCAATGAACGACATAGAAGGAGGGCTGTATGTCCCTCGTGTCCTGGTCTGACTGTGACTGACATGTGGGTCACGACTGAACAGTCTGGAAGGCCTTTGAGCCCTCTATAAGAGCATGCTGGGGAGTCAGAGTATCAAGGGAGTGAAACTCTAAACCTTCCAATTTCTTCTTCATGCATAGCATGCAAGATGTTGTCCACCACTAAATTCAGGCCCAATCTCAGATTTTTCTCTCATACCTGTAAGCTTGCTGGGAAATTGTCAGGCTACTAGGTAGAAGGTAGGTGAGTGCTGATGACTAAAGGAGGTCACCTGTGTGCACATCAGCACCAGATGGCTGCCCTTTGCCCTCAAACATTACAAATCTCTCACCCATGCTTTCCTGGTTCCTCATCCCAGCACTTCTGGGCAGAGGAGACCCACAATCTACATATCTCTCAATAGCACAGTGGTTTTCAGCTTTTAGGAAATAGACCTCCTTGTGAATCTGAAGAAATCTATGAACCATTTCCTACAGAAAACGCAAGTGCCCATAAAACTTGCGTACAATTTTAGAAGGTTTATGGACCCTCAAAATTCCATTTATGGCCTCAGGTTAAAACCTCATGACGTAACTGAGCATACACTTGAAAAGTGGGCCTCCAGATGAGTTCTAGTGTTGAGTTCAAATAAGAGACAAAAATCAAGAATTATTCATGGGGGTGACAAGAGAAATATGAGGTATGGTTTCTAATCTCAAGAAATTTATAGTTACACCTATACACAGACGTATTCCCACCCAGCCTTTTAACTTGCTAAAAGTAGAGGCTGTGTTCTGTAGCATCACTGGAAGAACATTTATGACAGCTAAAAAACAAAAACAACCCCATTCTCTCCGAAAGTCCATGTCTGAAAAGAAAGAAGGACCTAGTCAGGGTTCCTGTGGGGGACTCTGCCTCCCATCTACTTCTATTTCTATGTGATGTAAGACATTAGCCAGAGTATGTTCTGCTGACACAGCAGCACTCTGGCCCATGTCATGCAGAGACTGGTAAGTGAGATCCTTTGGAGGCTTGGACTAAGGGCATGGCAGTGGACTTGATGTGCTTGTGTTCAATTCAGATCTTGAATATAGAGCCATCAGGATTCACTAAATTGTGGCAAAAAAGAAAAAAAGAGAGAGAGAGAGATAAG